TAATATCCTTGCAGGCATGGGGTGATAATCGGTTTTTTTTCCAACGTACATTAAAATACATAACTATTAAATACAACACATTGGTCCATATGCCATCTAAAAGATCCATTGTGTGTATCATGGGTGTTGTGTCCACCATCTTGAGGGGATTGCCAGGACAAAGAGGGCCCTTATTCATGTGGCCCTTGCGTTGCTGCTCCCCTTAGGCCAAATACTCCAAGAATAGCATTTCCACTTTGAATTTCCAGCAAAGCAGGATCCCACAGTGCTGTGTCTTCACACTTTTGCTTATGAAGTTCCCTCTGCCTGGAGTGCCCTCTATGGCCTTCTAGTTTCTCTGCTTGATGATTCCTGTCCATTCTTTTAGACCCCGCTTAAATATCACACTGTAGAGTCATCCTTCCTTCCCACTCTGTCCCCAGACTGTGTTTTGTTGCTCTGACCCCTTTCTTCATTTTGTTCCTTGTCCATTGTCTGTTTTCATGTTCATAAGCAATGACTGTCCTATGATGATTTTCAGGTTTCCCATCCTAGATTTTTGCTCCTGGGAGGCTGAAAATAGATTTTATTTGCCTTAGCCTCAGGGCGTGTCATGTAGACCTTAAAATGTGAATGACTGAAGTTCAAATCCCTTTCTAAAATGCACTGATCTCTGGTGGAGCAGTAGCTGTGGCTGGGATTGGTTGACATTAGATGAGAACAAGAGTGAGACTTGGCATGTAAACTTGGGGAGTTGGGGGTTTACTGGAGGGAGGGAAATGATGCATTAATTGATGAAAGTTACCAAAGGCATGATGCCCCTCTGCAAGGTGTCCTAGAGCAGACTCTGCTAGCCCACATAAATGTACCTGATCATGATGAGTAGCTTCTGGGCTACTTTCTATATATGTATACACACTTTGGTGAGTTTCTATATTTTCAGCCCAACCTTTAGAGCCGTACCGTCTAATATGGTGGTCACAAACAACACGAGGCCATTTAAATTTTAATTAATTAAAAGTAATTAAAATTTCATTTCTTCAGTTGCGCTAGCCACATTTGAAGTGTTCAATAGCCACATATGGCTAGTGGCTACCATATTGGACAGCACAGAATAGAACATTCCATCATCACAGAAAATTCTATTGGACTGAGCTGCTCTAGAATCTAATTCTTTCACAAATCCCCCGTGTTGACTTTTGTCCCTGAAGTTGAAGCCAGGAAAAAAGTCCTGTCTAAATGAGATTTCACTTGGGTGGGTTTAGTCAGCTTGTATATTATTACAGATATAAGCAAAGGGCCATTTGTTGAGTAAGGAGAGGTTTTTAGTGGTTACTTGTTGAGGAGATGGACAGTCTTACCATGGAGAGGGTATGACCACTTGCCTGGAGAGCTCTGGCTTCAGTGACTGTCCCTGGTCCAAGCTACCCTCCCCTTCACCACAACTGGTTCACAATGCAGCAGGTGGATGAGGTTGAAGACAGAGAAGAAAGATGGGAATATGGGTGGAGAGAGGAGATGGGGTCTAGAGCCTAGGAGAGTCAAGGGAAGGAGGTAAGATGAGTGAGAATAGAAAAAGGAGGGAGGGAACTCCTGCAGCAGGAGAGGAGGGGGGTGTTGGTAGTAATGGAGGGAGAAAGGTGGGCCTTGAATAAAATGGTGACTGTTTGGCATAGCCATTATAGAGAATGAGAAATGACTCATAAGCATCCTGTGCTCACTTTCTCCTGCCACCAAACTGATTTTGTTTGTTGCTTTACTTAAAATGGCAGAACACATGGAGTGAAAGAGGACCTAGCTAGAATAAAACAGCAGGAGAGATTGTGCATCCATCAATACCGTGTGTACTCACCACTCGACTGTCTTTCATTTCTCATTATTTTACATGTGAACAATGTCCCAGATTACAAGTCCTTTGGAGACTAGGGTGAAAGATGGTAAATAAAACATTTACACTTTAAGCTGTGGACTGAATTGGTTAATTGCCAGGGCTACTGTGTTTTAGGTCTTTTGTAAATTAGTAAATGAGTAGAAGAAGCTTCTCTTTGGAAAATAACTTAGAATTGGTATGAGTCAGGCTTCATTACTGTGAACCACAGGCCTTTAAATCTGCAGTTGACAAGGGACCAAACTTTCAACCTTACATCATTTTGGATGTGAGAGTAGGTTTGGATCTGTCAGTAGGTTTTGCCCTTAGAATTTCAGAGACAAAAATTAATCCTTACTGCAAGATTATTCTTAGATTTACAATGCCGGACACAATTAACAATTTGCAGTCTTTAGCAGAAGAAAAAAAAAAAAGGTGCCAGTGGCTTTAATCATTTCTTTAGATTTTACTAGTCTTCTTTCAGACATTAATTGTCTTCGGCAGGACTAATATGGTGGTTCTCAAACTTCAGTGAGCATCAGAATCACCTGAAGGGCTTATTAAAACACAGACTGCTGGGCCCCATCCCCAGAGTTTCTGATTCAGTAGGTCTGGGGTGGACTTCAGAATTTTCTTTTCTAACAAGCTCCCAGGTGACACGATGCTGCTGATCTGTGGACCACACTTTGACAACCACTGGTCCTGTGTGAATTTAATTTCAGCTTCAGTCTAGGTTGATTAGGGGATTACGTTCAAGGGGTGGTAGTTCATTTGCCTCTTTCTGACTCTATATTTTCCTCTTCTGGGGTTTGGGCAGGAGGGAGAAGGAATCTGCGTTCATTCCAGTGACCTGGCTCCTCAAAGAGGGCAGAGGCCCACAGGCACACTGCCCTCTTTACCTGTCAGGACAGCCTCTCCAGGGGAAGGCCACGGTGTGCTGATGGAGCAGTTACCCTCTACCACTTTCCCTTCAGCCTCCACCCAGACCAGGAAGCAGCACACATGCGCAGATTCAGAAGCAGCTGTGTTTGCGGTATTTGCTCCTGACCCAAATCTTCGCTGCCTCCTGGAGACTGCTGCAGTCCCAGGGCAGTGGTGGTGTGAGGATGACGTGGATGACCAGAGCCTTCAAGTGGCCAGGTGGTTGGCTGGGTGGTTGACCGTGGCTGGCCACTGGGAGGGAGTCAGGAGACCTGGGTTCTATTTCTGGGTGGACTTAAAACTCATTGGGTGACCTGATCCTTGACTCTCCCATTTTGACCCTTGTGTTTATGAAACATACTCTCCCCCTCCCAATCCATAAAATAGCAGAAAACAGAAACCCAGGTCTGGTGAGTGGCCTCCAGGGCATTTATGAGCTGACGTGTGGAACTCTGAGTGCCTGAGGAGAAAGCTGCTGTGTAAACACAATATATTATTAATGAAACGTTAAAAAATAGCGTCACACTCTCTGCTAACAATAGATGCTTTAGGCTGTGGGAGCATCTCTGACACACAGGCTCCCAGCAGTGTTGAAGGAATGGTGACTATGGTTTTTGAATTTGTAACACATTTAAAAGGAGATGAAAATACGTTTTTAAAACATTTTTGAGCATATTCATAGGTGTATTTGTGAAGAAAATATGGCAGTTCTGTAAAATTCAACTTTAACAAACCAAGTCATCAATTTCTTTAGATTTTCATTACATTTCAGAGTAGTTTTACAATGTGGGCTATTCCATAGGCATTTTGGCTGAAATTTTAGGAGTCTCTTTCCTCCTCCCAAATGCATTGGTAAGTGGTTGATGCCCCGTGAACTCTATGGGGGAAACTTACAAATCAGTTAGGGATTACTTAATCAGTTAACGATTACATCCACTCTACAGACGCATTAAGGAGCACTTGCTACGTGCTACTGTAGATACTCAGATTATAAAAATATGGTTCTTGCCTTAAAGGGATTTGTAGTGTGGTTTTGATTAAAGATATATAAGCAAGACATTGTGTAAGGAGACCATGGCATCCTTTATACCTGTCTCCTTAAGAAATGTAAACAAATCTAAAACCACTTTTTGTGCATTATATAGGTGTGCCTGCAGTGATCGAGAGAGAGAGAGAGAGAGAGAGAAAGAGAGAGAAAGAGAGAGAGAGAGAGGGTCCTGTAGCATCACTGTTCCCTGTCAGGAAGAAGCTCAGACATTGTTCCTTTTCCCCCAGAGGAGTTCAGAGATGGAGGCTTCTCAAGGATGTTGTGACAAGTTGCCTGTCGAAGATCTAGCACCCCAAGTGCTGGCAGCCCTACTCATGTCTCAGGGAGAGAAAGATGCTCAGTAAACAGATCACTACACACTCTTAGGGAACATAAGACCCCATTCCTTCCCCACCATCCGGGGTAACCATTCCCTCCCTGCCTTCTGTCCAGAGAGTTGTGGATTTTTACCCCACGGCGGAAGCTCCCTAAGGACAGGGCCTCACCTGGGTCTAGAATGCTCCATCTTACCATCAACATTGTCTTTTGTCATTACCAAATCGTTGCTCCTTTTTATCTTTGGGGAAAATCCATATGTGTCCATCACGTCATATCATAAAGAGACATCCAGGGTGGACTTTTCTCTTCCTTTGCTTGAGCCAACATTAATGGGTTACTTTTTTATGCTCTGTGCATTATTTCATTTCATCTTCAGGTAGGAAATATTATTCCCATTTGACAGGTGAGGAAATAGAGGCTAAAAGAAGTTCAGTAGCTTGACCAAGATCAAGCAACACGTTAAATGGTGGAGCTTGGGATGTCTCTTGCCAGAGCCTCCTCCACTCTTTGCTATTAAACTCTGCACCCTCCAGCTGGAGGAGGAGTGAAACGTTGTGTTGCCAGGGAGGGGGAGTGAATTTCATGGCCTTGGAGACACTTCCATGCCAGCATTCACGGGATGCTGTGAGGTTATGTGGGATGGTGAGTCCCTGTACCATGGGGTTGATTTTGGTGATAAAACTCTGAACTGTATTCTCCTGGAGATGATTGCGTCTTAATTCTGAGGCTGTAGGGGGGCAGGGTGGGAGTGTGGCAAATTTTGATTGGGTCCCAATGCCTTGGGTTGTGTCATTGTCACTGTCATTGTGTAAATCAGCAGAGTGGAGTTCTTCCAGTTAAGATTCTCAATGTTTTGTTTCTTTGCAGAGCCTGTGTCATCTTGGGGGTGATATTCCTTCTGTCATCCATATGTATAGTGGTCAAAGCCATCCATGACCTCTCAACTAGGCTGCTCCCAGAAGTGGTAAGATCCTTTTCCTTCCTTAACAATCTTTCCTGGAGGTACCAGCCTCCTGTGTTGCCTCATACCACAGATTTACTGCGGGAAGTAAACTGGCGGATGGGGAGAGAATATACAGCATTTTAGGAGTCCAGAAAAACTCATTGCAGAATGTGAATGACTTGGCAGAGCAAAGCATTGGGTGAGATGAAGGGACTTCAAATAATTGAGCTGGTACTGAGTTCTGCATCCCTCTCCTTAGATCTGTTGACTGTTTTTAAAACAAGATGTCTTTTACGTTAAAGAGAAATGTGGTGACTTTCATATAGCAGAGTGATCCAATCAGTATCGTTTGCATCTGTTGTTCTGCATCCATTCAATGACTGTAAGAATTATTTTTTTTCTTTGCACCTCAATTCAATACATAAATCTATTCACATGAGGTTTTCGGACACAATTGGCATTCGGATGCAGAAATTGGAGGACACAATTTCATATTAAACTGTGTCTTTGACCGCTTTGTTCTCTGGGTGACGGTCATTACCTGCACTCTGATTCTTTTTCTCCCCCTCTCCCCTTATGAATGCTGAGAAAAGAAATATCTTTACAGTCTCCTATCAGGCTATCTTCATAGAAGGCAGCCAATTTACTTACCAGGAGATGAAGATGCTGCCATTACAATAATTGTCTTTATACAAGATGCATAGTGATTTAAATGCAAAAATATGGACTCTTCTCTTAGAATGTGATTTGATTTGAGCTTGGCTGCGTGCATCATCTTATATAAGGCCTAATTTATTAGACCTTTAATTTCACTTTTAGAAAAATATATGTTAATCCTTCTTGGGGTAATGTATTGCATTTGTGTGTGTGTGTGTGTATGTTTATGGGGAAGATGCAAAAGAAGTGGGACATTATACTGCATTTAGAAAGCTATTAAAGCAACTGCTTTAAGTTACCCCTCCCCCACCTTGAAACTGAGATTAGAGCCCTTCCTTTAGTAACTCACCAGGATCTGAACTATTATTTATCATCGCAGCTGGCCAAAAGCTTGTTCTCTAATATCTCAGTGACAGGGAGGAAAGATGGATACCAGGGTAGGACTGAACTTACCTGTGGTTTTTAGTCGTTTTCAGCAGAGCTAGCTCAAGCAAATATTACTATTTATTATACTCTGTGCTCTTCATCTCACCATTGTGCTGTGTCATGCTAATCTTCCTGGTTACCTGGGATCCTGGACTTTTCTACCCTTTTTCTCCATCAGACTTGCTATCCTGTGTTCCATTCTGTCAGAATCTGAAGCTTAGGTAAAATGTAGACATGAAAGTATTAAGTGTGATTAATTAACATGTCAATCAGATACCATCTTCGTATTTTACAAGGGATGGAAATCTGACTCCACTCTAAGAAATGTTTATCGGTGGGAATTTTCAGCACTAGGTTAGTTGATGCATTCATTTATTTAGGCATTAAAAATGAATTTCCAGCAGGGCTAACTTGATATGGAATGGATAGCTGTGCTCACGGTCCCTTGCAGAGGCCCCCCCTTGTTTTTCTCTTGACAGCTAAACCGTTTTTAACTGGGAACAGTTTCATATCCTATGGGCAAATACTCCTAAGAGAAGCAGCTTACTGACTTAAATTCCACATCCAGGTATAAATCCCTAATGCCCTGCCCAGGTTGGGGTCAGAGAGGGTGAGGAGCTCCATGATTTTGCCCACGACTAGCCCTGTCCTGGGAGAACTCACACCCACTGCATCTTTTATCAGTCCTGGCGTGTGGGATTTAAAAATCCCACACATTTATGGTTATTTCATCAAAACTCTGAAAAAAGACATAAGGTGGTTTTGTTTTGTTTTTTTAAGCCTTCAGAGTTATGGAAGTGCGTTCTAGTTGCCATAAGGGAGGCCTTCTATTCAGCTGTGTGGCACACGGTGGCCAGGTAAATTCTGCCAGGTCGTAGCCGACAGTTTTTGAATCCTGAGTCTTTGAGTTCCCACTCTCTGCTCTAGAAGTTGGGGGAAGCCAGCAGGCTATAGCCAGACTCCTGATCCCTGGCCTGCAGTAATTCAAATTGAGTGTTCGTCCACAATGCCTCATCTAAATTAGGAGTCACAAACTCAGATGCTCACAGAAGCCAGTCCCCCAAACAGGAGAAACCACCTGGGTCTGTGGCAACTAGAGAGAGTGTGCCTGGATGAAGGGCCTGCCCTCTATTGGAGGTGCTGTGCCGGAGTGTGGACCCAGGCTTGTCAGATCTTCCAAGTTTTAAGAGAAAGTGAAAACCTAGAAAGTGAAATAAATTGGCAACTAATTAAAAGATTTTGAAAACCCTACTTGATTGGGAGTGGGTCGACAATTTCATGCTGCCGGATAAAGCATGCCTCTTGGCTGCTTGTGGCCTGTGGTGGTTGAAACCAGAGAGACTGGTCATTACGGCCTTGATGTCATGAATTTAGGTCCGAGTTACAGCTTCACCCTTGCTCTCAACTGCAGAATTGCCTTGATTTCTATCAAGTTGTTACTGTGAGTTTGTCAGAAGCAGCATTTTTTCTACCCCAGGCCTGTTCCCCTGGCGTGTTTCTTTTCAACATCAGCTGCACAATTCTCAGAGTGAGAATAATTGCAAGAATCGATAAGTTTTGAGTAAGAAAGCTATGCAGATAAGAATTTCCCATCTGTGAAGTTCATTGGCTCTGAGCCTTGGTGGTGTCGTCTGCCCCTCAGTGTGGTGCTGGAGAAGTCAGGCCAGCCTATCTCTCGTGGGAGGCCCGGGACCGGAGTCCATGGCGCCTGCTGCAAGGGCTTCATGAGCAAATGGCATAAGCCTGCTCCCTCACAACCTGCGCATGGTCACATTGGATCTTTAATGACATAGATTCCAAAAGATCTTTCTTGGTAACGCTGTGAACTGTGGTTCTAAGGTCAGGGAGAGTGGGCAGTGCCGCAGATGCAGTGGGAATAGTGCTTGCCCTGTGTCTGTGGGTTGCTTTGAAGGGAGAATCATCCTCTTTCTGTTTTTACCCCTGCCACACCCTGCTTTGGTAAGAAGGGCCAGGTGGTATGCTTCTCCTTTTTGGTAGGACATGGGGGCTCTGAAAGCTGAAGTGATCTTCCTGTTGTTGTTAGCTGGCTGCTGGCAGAGCCTGGATTTGAACCCTTGTCTCCTAGTCTAGGGCTGTCTTGGCTCCTGGTCCTGTGGGCTTATATGATCCTGTTGTTTGTTGGCTTTTCAGGTCTGGCCCTCCTGTCTTACTTCTCATACTCACAGTGGGGTGCTGCCAAGGGCTGTCCTAGAGGGGGGGTGTCCAGGCCCCCAGCTAGTCCCATCCCTGGCCTTTCTGGCTATTCCTGCTACCCCAACCCCTTACCATACTCTGCACTCTGTGCCCCTGACCGGAGTGTGCCCCCATTACTTTGTCTCTTGAAAAACCCACAGGCACCTTAACCAAGAAGCAATGGAAAATGCAGGAGAAGTATGGAATGAGGGGAATCATGGGATGCATGAAATCACATGTAAGGAAGTGCTTTAGGGAAGATGCTTACCATGGTGGAAGGGACATGGGGGTGGTGGGATGACCTGTCTGAGGTGTGATCCCCTCTCTGCCTCTCTTACCCACATGACTACCACAGGCAAGTCACTTAGTCTCCCTGACCCTGATCTTCCTGAAATGTGAAGTGGAGGCACTACTTATATCAGAGGTTTATGATAAGGATCAAATGAGCAATTTATTTAAAATAATTGGCATTAGAAGACAGAGCTACTATGGCAGTGGCTGCTCTTAACATTCTGATTTTTTATGTTTCTGAATTGCGAATCAAAGTTACCCCAACTTGTGTCCTGAGGTAATTTCAGACTGGGCCTTTCAGTCCCTTTTACCTGCTTCCCTGTCTCCCTCTGGCTGGTTGGACTGGTGGTGTTCTCTTTTGGGCTTCAGTTGGCTGTAGCCAACCTTGGGCCACTCTTTCAAGGAACACACAACATGCTGATGGAAGACCTGTCCTCTGAGCCTAACTCACCACTCATTGGCTGTATGACTTTTAGCAAATCATGTCTCCTCTCTGAGCAACAATTTCCTCTTTGTAAATGAGTGTCATGCCACCTACTCCACAACAGAAATTGGGAGAATTAAATGACATAATGAACATGTTCTATAAACTGTCGTGTGTTTTACAAAAGAAGGAGATGATATTGTTTCTGATTCCAAGGCCCTAGAAGTCCCATCCTTGCCCATGAGCTTTTTCTCCATGTCTTGTTTGGTTGAACGAGCTCAGGTCTACCTTCAGTAGACCATGACTTCTTTGCCTTGAGCTCTTGGCCAGTGTCTGGGTCCAGCCTCTTTAAGTGTTCATGTGGCAGCAATAGTCATTACAATTATAATTACAATAATAAATAGTCACAGGTTGGCCATAAATAATATATGGCCGTATATTGATAATAATAAAAATTGCTGCCATTTGAATGTCTACTGATCCCCAGACCCTCTATTTAGGTACTGGGGATTCAAAATAAGATAGCACTAATGGCTAGAGTTTTTTCATTGCTGTGCAAAGCACTTGACTTCTCATATGAGCTGGCTTTTATTCCCAAGGAGCTCACAGTTGGAGAGAGACCCAGAAACCAATACATTCGAATTATGATGATAAGGGCTATGATAGAGGCAATGATATGAGAACACAGAGAAGACGTCCATATCAAGCCTGGAGGTTGGGGCCTTCCCAGAGGAGCTGACCCTCCACATGACACCTGAAGGAAGAATGGGAATTGGCAAGGGAGGCTATACTGGGGAGGGAGTAGGGGTGAGGCATGGGGAGAAGGAGCCACAGGTTCCCTGTGAGCCTGTTCTCTCTGTTTCCTGTTGACACCAGTGTCTCTGGATAGGAGGAAGGAATAGAGAGAGAAAAATGCAAAGGAGAAGGAGGCAAAAGGAAGAAAGGAAAAATAACTTTGTGTTGTAGGTCATAAATTAATGCTTAGCAAAATTTTCTTTCTTCTTCCTTGAGCAGCAAGGTTGACATTCAA